TTGGTTTTATTTTACTTATGCCTGGGTAACTGCCCTAAAATGTTCTCTGTGAAAGTGATCGGTTTTAATCCTTTGATTTGTCTTTTAGAGCTACGAGCCAGATGAACTAAGCAAAGAAATGGCTCATCTTGAAGGGCTAATGAAGGATCTGAATGCCATAACCACAGCATGAGAAAGCACAACCCCACCCCAGAGGCCATTTTGACCTTGTATGGACAGAAGCAGTAAATACTCTTCCACACGTGTCTCTGTGCCACACACATCTTTGCGGATGAAGTGCACGTTGGGAGGCCAAACTGGACGCTGAAGCAACTGCCAAGGGCTTAGGCCTGGTATTATGTACATTGTTGCTTATCCTCTGCTTTCGAAGATTTTTTGGGGGGGTTTATATCAAACAAAAGAAGGATTTTTTTGTGTTATCCGTGGAGGAACATTGTGTATTGCCATTGTTTTTTTGTTTTGTTTTTTTTTAATTCTCCCTCTCTCCCCCACCTCGCCCTGTTGAGCCTTCACATTATTAACGTGGCTCAGTGTGTATGTTCCATCACATGGGCTGATTGACTGCTGAATGGCACCTGATGAGAACTTTCCTGGTCCATCGTTGCTTTTTGTGCAGTGCTCTCAGGCTGCGAAACGGCATCAGTAAGCAGCAAATTCCCCCTCCAGCCTCTGTGAGACTTAAAACAGTGTTACGCCCCTACAACAACCAGATTTGCTCTTCCTTTCCACATCTCCGTCCACTTTTATTATTCTGTACTTGCCCAGGGGATGGTCATTCAGGCTGCTAAGGCCGGACGGAAAGTCTCGGGCCTCCGGGTTGGAGATTCTTTGCCGTACGTAAGAAAACACTGAGTGAGCTGAAAACGTACAAGTGCCCCTCACGTCTGTCGTGGAAAAGTCTGTTCTGTATCTGCATTCTGTGGCTTTCTTGAAATGGGACCGGTCTCTTCCCACCTGGATGGTCTTCAGCACATTCACATGCTAAAGCATTTCCCATCTCGTGTGACTTCTTTGTTCTTGTAAATGGATTTCATCACCTCATCCCTGCACATCCTCCTGTATATTGCCCTCTCCTCCCACCTAGTTCTCCTCCACACCTTTCTGTACAGAAAATTCATTCTATTTTTTTTAATGCTTTTTTTCTGTAGTGTTTTAGAATGTATCTTTTTATTGTGACCCACCCAAAACATTTTATTTTCTGTTTTTATTTTATAACATCATGATTATTATTTGGTATTGGAATTCAATACACTTTTTTTATTCAATCAAACTGTACCGTATGTGTATTTGTCTGAGATCCTTGGAAAATCTACAGAAAAATACATAATTTTGTATCGTTTCATCGTCCAGGAGAAATGCACGCGAAAGTAAGAAATTTTAGGTATCAAAATCTCATCCTGGAAATTATAGACCTTTTGGTTGGGAAGTTATTTGAAGGGTTTTTATGGAATACTATTCCGAGATTCATTTTCCACAAAACTGTTATTACTAGGAACCAGATTTATTTTACAAACAACAGATTGCATTCGATGAAGAAGAGTGTAAAAATGTAGATTAGGCAATATGTTGCAGTGGATGTGAATTTCTTTGGTTTTGCAAAGGCATATCATATGTCTCCCCAAATTGTTTTTGCAAAGAGTATGGAATATTTTCAAGTTAGTAAAACAGTCAGAACTGGATTTTTTGAGCCATAAATATTATGGTACTACAAAATTAATAAGGGGAATGGAAAATTTTTAGACATGAGAGGCTTATAGAGGGTGGACCAAAATTCAGAGTTTTTATTAATGAATCAATTTTAATATTACATACATTGAATGCTTAGCGTATGGAGATTTGTTTGACTCGGTATGGAAAATTACATTTTGTAAATGAGGTCCATTTGCCCCCTCGCAAAGTCCAGACTTTTTCAAATGCATTGTTCATAATATTCTGCCCAAAAAATTCTTGTGAGGTCGTCCCGCTACAGACGGTGCATTTGGTAGGGTGCAATTTGCGCTGATTAATTGTCTGGATTTTCTGCACCCCAGAAACAACAGTTTTTCTTATTGACGAAACCATTTAAATGAAAATGAGCTTCGTTCGACATGAGTTGATGATTAAATTAATTGTTTTCTCTGTCTAAATCATTGTTTCGTCGTGATATTACCCATGATGAATCTCCCAAGACTCAGTTATAATATGTACCTGCAATAAAAAAAAAAATAGAATTACTAACAAAAAAGTTATTTACCTGTCAAACCCTACTCTGAATTGCGGCCCACCCTGTATAACTGCAGGTGTTCAAGGCTCGTCTTGAAAAAAGTCTGTTTGTAGACTGAAACATCAACATTTTGTATAAAGCTGAATAAAAGCTGAGAATATCTTTTACAAATCCTCAAGTGTGCTACTTAGAATGTTAAACAAAAATCTGCACACCAGTCAAGCCATAAGACTTGCTTTTCCCACAGAAATCCCAAATCTGCAGTGATGTTACAACCGCAAAGGATTCCAGTGGGCTTCACTTGTTTTTGCATCTTTTCCTAATTTGTGTTCTAAGCAGTTGTATTAAACTAATTTGCATATGCCCACCCAGAATACTTTGCGGTTGTAACATCACTGCAGATTTGGGATTTGTGTCTTATGACTTGACTGGTGTGCAGATTTTTGTGTAACATTGTATTAACTATCCACAGACTTCAGGTAGAAGGGGTTTTCAATCACAATTTTTCCCCACCATAACCCTTTTGGATTTTGCTTCCCAAGCACTACCAAGCCTCAGTAAGCAAACCAGTAACCAACCTCATGCTGATGAGTTGCATTAACAACGAAACAGCTGTCCATGAGTGGTTTACTGGTTTTGCATCTTTTCCTAAATTGTGTTCCAATCAGTTGTATACTGCAAACACAGATTAAAAGGAATCCAGGTTTAAAATGGAATGAGGCAAAAATGTGATTCTTTGTTAAACTAATTTGCATATGCCCACCCAGAATCCTTTGCGGTAGTAACATCACTGCAGATTTGGGATTTCCGTGGGAAAAGGAAGTCTTATGGCTTGACTGGTGTGCAGATTTTTGTTTAACATTGTATTAACTATATAGATATAATTTTTTTAAACATTTTTTTTTTTTCACAGTAAGACAGCGATGGGCTTTTAAAATCCATGCATTTTATTCTCTGCAGGCATAATTTAAATGGAAACTGTATTTTCAGCCTCTGCGCTCTAATCTATGGATATTTTTGGATGCTTTCTGCTGGTTTTTTTTCTCCAAGTTTAGAATATTAGGAAAGGATACCTTGACTGCTCAATAAAGAACAAAATGATTTTCTGGGTAAACTTTAACCCTTTGCTGATTGCAGCCATCTTGGTACCTGGATATTTTGCCAATTTGATGGTTTTAAGTTTCCAGTGAGAGGATGAATAAAAGCGTTGATAGACGTCAACGCTGCCTTGTCCCACTGGCTATGACAAGACACCATTGACCCTCACTCATGAGTTTATAATGGTGTGGAGCAAGCCTAATACTTTACTCATTTGTGGACCAAAACCCGAATGCCTTAATGCAGCCATCGTGTGGTACCAGTCCACATGATTACACGCTTTTACGGCGTCTGTATAGAAGACCGTTGTCTACCAGCCCTCTGGTGGAGTGAATCACATTGAATGCTCATGTCATGTTGTCCTTTACCTATCTTCCTGTCACAGCGGCCACCTGATGTGGATTAGGACCTGGACCACATCTCTGTGTTGTGCAAGTATCTTCAAAAAACATTTTAAGGTGAATTTATTAGTGAAATATATAATATAGTGACCTGTATTATGTACATGAATTGTTACCTATGCTTGCTATGATGGCTATGTGTGCCAATTGTTCTTAAGAAATCTCCTCCGTCCAGAATCAAATTCAGCCTTACTAGCAAATGTAGGAGAATGGATGTGTTCAAACGGTTTCTAATATCTTAAAGGCAAACCATCCTAGCCAGGGAATGTATGTAGGTGAGACTGTTTTAGGGCATTTAAGACTCGACCGTTTCAGTGTAACAGCCCTGGGAACATACTTCAAGATATAATAATCAATATATCCCTTTTTCTGGTTGTCAGTGGAAAGTTATAATTAATGTATGTTGAGACTGCTTGTTGGTCCAGGGAGAAATCTGATTGCTGTTTTAAAGTTAAAAAGAATGTATTTTTGGATTATTTTTTTTTTTTAAAACGGAGACCCTTGGAACAAGGGGATCCCTGAAGTAGCTACCGAACAAAGCAGTATAGTAGCCAAATAATAAAGAGAGAAGGGAGAAGGGGGGATATTAATGAGTGGATAAAGAGGTAAGGGGAATAAGTAGAAAGAACCCCATAAGTACTCTAATATTGTCCACTACTAATTATACAGCGAAAAGAGGTCCCTAGTGGAGTAGGAGACTAGCCCTATACACTAGTACAAATATCCACATCTAGGGCTCCACAGAATGTATAATATGTACAATGCCCCACTGGTATAAAGGCAGGTCAAAAAGACCTATGCAGGAAAAAAATAGGAAAAGGGGGAAAGAACCAGGGCAGTTCCTATATGGACAAGCCCTAGGTCCAGAGGAGCCCCTCAAAAGCAAGAAAATCCCTGCCTAGAGAAGTCCCCTAAGAAGTCAAAATCATAAAAAGGCTAACTATACTGACTAACTAAATCAAAACATACTGACTACCTAAGTGCTACCTAGTGTAAAAAAAAGAAAAGAAAAACATATATAAATTAAAGTAAGCGCTCGACGCACGTTTCAGCATGCATCAGGAGCTATTGTAAATGTTCGTCCTACTGAAGCCGGTTAAATACCTTCAACAATCGGAGGTAAATCCCTCCAGGTGGTCCGACGTGTGGAGGGGGGAGTGGATGTCTGACGTAAAAAAACTTTTGTTTAATCCCTGTGGTTGTTTAATCCCAGTGTTTTCAATTTATATATCCAGTAGGACTCTCTTTGTTTGAGCCTACGGTCCCAATCCCCTTTACGTTGTGTTTGGGGTATGAATTCAATGCCCATAAAGCGTATCCTACTGGATAGATGGAGTTTAGGGGCGGAGCGTCCGTCTGTGTATAATCCTCCCCCTTTCCCCACCCCTTTATGATTGACTCAGGTATTACCCAATGACATTCCGATCTAAGTGATGACGTCGTCGAGGAGGAGTGGTGACTACGTCAGACATCCACACGTCGGACCACCTGGAGGGATTTACCTCCGATTGTTGAAGGTATTTTACCGGCTTCAGTAGGACGAACATTTACAATATCTCCCGATGACGGCGTGTATGTACGCTGAAACGCGCGTCGAGCGCTTACTTTTATTTGTTTTTCTTTTTTTTTACACTAGGTAGCACTTAGGTAGTCATTATGTTTTGATTTAGTTAGTCAGTATAGTTAGCCTTTTTATGATTTTGACTTCTTAAGGGACTTCTCTAGGCAGGGATTTTCTTGGTTTTGAGGGGCTCCTCTGGACCTAGGGCTTGTCATATAGGAACTGCCCTGGTTCTTTCCCCCTTTTCCTATTTTTTCCTGTATAGGTCTTTTTTACCTGCCCTTATACCAGTGGGGCATTGTACATATTATACATTCTGTGGAGCCCTAGATGTGGATATTTGTACTAGTGTATAGGGCTAGTCTCCTACTCCACTAGGGACCTCTTTTCGCTGTTTAATTAGTAGTGGACAATATTAGAGTACTTATGGGGTTCTTTCTACTTATTCACCTTACCTCTTTATCCACTCATTAATATCCCCCCTTCTCTCTTTATTATTTGGCTACTATACTGCTTTGTTCCTGTGTTCAGTAGCTACTTCAGGGATCCCTTTGTTCCAAGGGTCTCTGTTTTTTATATTTTTCTTGGGTTACCCCATATAGTGTAGCTCTGAGGTAGGCTCTTTATAAAGCAGTTTTCATCCTCTCACATATTTTTGTGAGTATGCTGATCTGTCTTTGTATAATTCTATTCACAATTTTTATTATTTTTTTTGTTGTGGCAAAATTAGAAATTGCTTCAAATTGGGTTTTGTTACCTGCTATAGATTTAACACCAAAACACATGTATGTAAGGTTGAACTTAATGGATTTGAGCCTTTTTTTTTCTTCTTCAACCTAGCTTGTTTGTTGTTTTTTTAATCAATCTTTGTGTTTTATAAAAACGACAATATAAAAAGAACATTTTGTAATATGTCTGGAACTGCACTCACTCCCATCAATCCGAGCCAGGGTGCTTGCTGAACAAGGGTCAAACACCAAATTCCCATTATAGTAGAGTAAAATGAAAGCGGTCCAGGCTTGGAACCACATCAGCAACGTTTCGACCCAAGGGGCTTTATCAAGTTTGATAAAGACCCTTGGGTTGAAACGTTGCTGCTGCTGTGGTTCCAATAAAGTGCCTGTTTTGAACCAAGGAGTTCCTGGACCTCTTTCATTTTACTCCAAGATAAAAAGAAGATTGTCATGTTATTCAAGGCTCTCAAAAAATTATTTCATTGCAGAAAACCCCAATCAGACTGTCTAATGCGCTCTACTATAATTGTTTGTATCAGAAGAGTATTGTTGGCATTGCTAGATTGCTACATAACTTGGTATTTGCAGTGCCAAAAAACAAAACATTTTAATTATCACAAGCCTACTTTTGCTCCACTGAAAATTTCCAATAGTTTTTAGTTTAATTTGCTGCCAATTAGAAAAGAAGCCGTCACCATGGAACAGAAACAAGCATGTGACATCTGAAGCCGGCTAAGTGTTAAATATTTTTTTTTTTTGTATGTAAAGATCTGAGATCACTGCGTGATCTATTTTTAATGTGCTTCTGTTTAGTTTCTAAACGCTGTATGTGAGATGTCTCTTGCTGCAGCTTGTGTAAATGGCTAATGAAGTTTGTCAGTTCCACGTTGTCACCATTTCCTCTTGTTGAGGACAAGTCAGGTCTGCTTACCATTTGACTAGCTTTTAGTACTGAATGTAACTACTGGTATTCATGTCCGGTATGTTTTTCCAGCAGTGTTTATATTGATGTCTATTGACCTACCAGTTTGGAGTTTGTCATATAGTGTGTGAAACATCTTCTCTGTGGAAGTAGAACAGTGTTCTATGCAAAGACATACTTGTAATATTTTACTTAAAATTGAAGTAAGAGAATGGACAAAGACGTCCTGAGTATTAAATGACTGTTTTATATCACAGAGACCGTTATTCAACCACTATCAAACAGGATGTGACAAGGTTTCGACACCAAGTGTTATTATATTTTTTTGTTTAGTGTTTATTTTCTCCAGTTACTGCATACACAACTTTTATAATCATCTGGTATTTGAAGAAGGAAACTATTGAATCTGTGGAAGGTTTGTCAAAAAAAGATCTCAAAGTAAGGTACTATCCCTGCACTGATACCTCTGTAATTACTGTGAGCAATAGAGAACCAGCTTTTGCGTTAATGGCGGTACAATATCCATATCAGTGCTCAAAATGGAAAGTCTTACGCTGTTAGACTGGCCTAAAAGTTACTTCTACTGCAAGACTTGGAGGATCTATGGTGTACTAATCATGGATAAATTGTCAATTGCTTGGAGGTATGTGGACATTTTGAGCCCTTTCCATATGAAAGTATCAGAGTAACTTATAGGAAATACGCTGATTTTGCCTGCTTCAAAAAAGTATTCATTTATGGTAGTAATTTGAAATACTGCTAAACCGTCTCTACTGACACCTGGTCCAAGCAAAGCATACCTCCCGACAGTCCTAGGTTTGTCACCTGTTTTCCTGCTCTTGGGATCGAGAGAGATGTGCCCAGTAAGTACATCACATGTGAGACGTTAGACAGGCTCAATCTGTGCAAACTATATTTAGGGCATGCAGCCCGTGCAGGCGAACTTCAACTGTGCACTTAATGGGGCCAGACAGACAAACCCACTTTTTGTAAAGTACAATCCAAACTTGTAGGTTTGGTAATACCTGTTTTCAAGCAGACCGCTTTGGTTGCAGTGCTTCTTTCTGAGAAGTACAGTATCTCACATTTTTGTAAATATTTTATTATAATTTTTCATGTGTCAACACTAAAGAAATGTCCCCTCAAAATAACTCAACACACAGCCATTAATGTCTTAACCGTTGGCAACAAAAGTGAGGACACCCATAAGTGGAAATGTCCAAATTGGGCCCTTAGTGTCAATATTTTGTGTTGCCACCATTATTTTCCAGCACTGCCTTAACCCTCATTGGCATGGAGTTCACCAGAGCTTCACAGGTTGCCATAGGAGTCCTCTATCACTCCTCCATGACGACATCACGGAGCTGGTGGATGTTAGAGACCTTGTGCTCCCCCACCTTCCATTTAAAGATGCCCCACAGATGCTCAGTAGGGTTTAGGTCTGGAGACATGCTGGGCCAGTCCATCACCTTTACCTTCATCTTCTTTAGCAAGGCAGTGGTCTTTTTGGACGTGTGTTTGGTGTTGTTATCATGTTGAAATACTCCCCTGTGGCCCAGTCTCCGAAGGGAGGGGATCATGCTCTGCTTCAGTATGTCACAGTACGTGTTGACATTCATGGATCCCTCAATGAACTGTAGCTCAGCAGTGCCGGCAGTACTCATGCAGGCCCAGAACATGACACATTTACCTCCATGCTTGACTGTAGGCAAGACACACTTGTCTTTGTACTCCTCACCTGGTTGCCGCCAAACGCGCTTGACACCATCTGAACCAAATAAGTTTATCTTGGTCTCATCGGACCACAGGACATAGTTCCAGTAATCCATGTCCTTAGTCTGCTTGTCTTCAGCAAACTGCAGGCTTTCTTGTGCATCACCTTTAAAAGAGGCTGGGACGACAGCCATGCAGACCAATTTGATGCAATGTGTGGGGCTGAACCCACACCCCTTCAACCTCTGCAGCAATGCTGGCAGCATTCATACGTCTATTTCCCAAGGACAACCTCTGGATATGACGCTGAGCATGTGCACTCAACTTCTTTGGTCGACCATGGCGAGGTCTGTTCTGACTGGAACTTATCCTGTGAAACCGCTGTATGGTCTTGCCCACTGTGCTGCAGCTCAGTTTCAGGATCTTGGCAATCTTCTTATAGCCTAGGCCATGTTTATGTGGAGCAACAATTTTTTTTTCAAGCTCCTCAGAGGTTTCTTTGCCATGAGGTGCCATTTTGAACTTACAGTGACCAGTATATGAGTGTGTGAGAGCGATAACACAAAATTTAACACACCTGCTCCCCCATTCACACCTGAGACCTTGTAACACTAATGAGTCACATGACACCAGGGAGGGGAAATGGCTAATTGGGCCCAATTTGGACATTTCCACTTAGGGGTGTACTCACTTTTTTGTTGCCAACGGTTTAGACATGAATGGCTGTGTGTTGAGTTATTTTGAGGGGACAGCAAATTTACACTGTTATACAGGCTGTACACTTACTATTTTACATTGTAGCCGAGGGTCATTTCTTCAGTGTTGTCACATGAAAAGATATAATAAAATATTTACAAAAATGTGAGGGGTGTACTCACTTTTATGAGAGAGTGTATTTCTGGCAGTTTGTGTAAATTGATGCACAGTAGTGATGAACTCCTGTAGACGGGGAGGAGAGGAGAGAAAAGTAATAGTTTATTAAGTCGTGGGGCCTAAATCTAAAAGTTACAACCACAAATATGGGATAGCACATAGCTAAAGGATGCACACAAGTCCAATAGTAAAATTAAATGATACTCCCTTTATTCATGTACAAAGACGATACAGATCAGCAGTTCACTAGGTTAAAAAATATATATATATATATATATATATATATATATTTGTGCTCGGAATTTAAATACGTGATGGATAGTAACTGTGAGCAAAGTTGGTTGTGGTGTGCCGAAACCAACGTACGAGTGGGCCTGTAAATAAAAGAGGGCCCACCAAGGATAATGTAGTTAAAACAGGGTGTAGGTGGGTGGGGACAATCAGCTGAGCGGCAGCGGTGAGTAGGGGCTGGGAGCTTAAGTAGGGGACTTACTCCTCCCACAAATTCAGGCCTAATGGCCTTTCTACTTGTGCTCGGAATTTAAATACGTGATGGATAGTAACTGTGAGCAAAGTTGGTTGTGGTGTGCCGAAACCAACGTACGAGTGGGCCTGTAAATAAAAGAGGGCAAAAAGATAAATTCGAGAAAATACACACTTTATTGCATTTTACAAGACCAAGTTTCTGAAAGCTTGGCGAAGCTCTTTCTCTGGTTGCGGAATATATGCGTTATATATGGAGGATT